TGCAAAAACTCATCTAATTGCTAAGTTAAGCTGCAGCATAAAATTGAAGGCCAAAATAATGCCCAAACTTCAAGCATTCTATTGTACTAAGATAGTTTATGCTAATGCCCATTTATATATCCAACTTATCATAGTACAATACAGTAGTCCCTTGAGTATCTGGTGTGATGTAATATAAATACTATCTTCTGTGTGTCAATGATATAAGGCAGCCAGTGTAGAGGAACAGTCACACTCATCTGTTACAGTGACTCTGCCATAAACTAAGGCTGTGGACTGTTAGTCTAGGTAAGGCGGTAAGTTAAATCAGCACCCATAACCAAAATTCACATGGATGATTATTTTATGCCATACTAAATCCTCAAAGATTCATGATTTAATATATTAATTTAAGTGAGGATAAGAGGATGAATAGAAATTTGAATGCCGTATTTGTGTCACCCTACAGTACCAATGTGGCTGAGATGAGATGTTAGTGATGCTGGCCACTCCACTCTAACCTAACTTAACTTAACCCAACCAAACCTAACCTAACCCAACCAAACCTAGCTTAACCTTGGGCTGGTGTCTATTTCTTTATCTTGGTTGTGGGATTTTGTACAGTAAGCAATTCTGGTGGGTTTCTATGTGACGTGGCATTTTGTCCAGGCATCTGTTGTTGCTTGTGGAGGGAAGGTGTGTGTGTGTGTGTGTGAGTGATATGGTCAGGGAAGTAAAGGTATAAACTTCACAATATTCTCACAAGCTTTACAAAGACCAGAGAAACTTTCTCAAAATTCACAAAAAGATATACATATACTACACAAATTTCACTGAAGCTTTACAAAGTTTACAGAAGCTTCTCAACCTTTATACAAGCTTTCCAAAGAGTAAATAAATGTCAAAATGTCCACAGGAGTTTTACAAAGTTCACTGAAATCTTACAAAGTTCACAAGAGTTTCACAAAGTTTACAGTTCACAAAATTGGGTCATGTAAAAAATATGAAATAGATACTGACAAGAGCTCTTCCTATCTTGGCTAAGGCATTGTGCTGATAATATGTTACTACATGGAAATTACTGTACCTGAATCTGTATTAAAATCGATACTTCTGAATTTGAATAAGAGGCACTTGTGACACTGGATGACCACCTTTGTAGTTGTTGGCGGTACAGTACAGCGGTAATTTGTGTATCTCTCACCGATATGCCAAGGTTTCGAGTCCTGCTTGACCCATACACACGTGAGAAGGGTGTTATCCAGTGTGACCCTCACTACCAAACACCACAGGTTTCCCGGACTCTGTTTCCTCCTGTACCAACACTGGATAGGGCAACCTCCCTAATGGCTAGTAAGCTGATAAGTAGTGATATGACTATATTACACTGTACAGGTATACATAAAAAAGTATGCTCTTGTAATACTGTATTGTATTTTATAACAAACTTCTTAGTACTGATAATATTAATTAGTTGTATCTACATACCATCACCTCAAATACTTAATTTTTTATACAATACAGTAATGTATACTTCTTCAAGCAACATAACTTATACATTCTTCATATCTGGGAGACAAAAGACATACAGTACTGTATATTTGTTATCATAATATGGTGATCTCTAGTCACCAGCCCAGATACATACAGATAATCAAATAAAGAATTCTAAATTTGTAAAACACCAGAACTTAGAAAGATACAAATATAAAATGGGGCAACAAACAGTATACTGACACACTGTTTCTCCTGAACTTGTCACTGTCTAATGACTGTACAGTACAAACATTATGATATGTCTTTACAACTCAATGTATTTATATAACCTTATAGCCCACTTGTACAAACTGTGCAAAGAGCTACAACAGCCTCTAATAATGAGCTTCACTTTTCTACTCATCTTTCTGTGCACTGTTTTGACGTGTTCTCTTATCACCTGCGCCCCCTTTGTGATCTTGAAATAAAACATGAGTGTGAAGGTTAAGTAATTCTAAAAATTTTCTTTTAACTAGAAACCATTTGGCTGAACTAGAATTCTCTCTTAAAAAGACTGGGTGTGAATTATTTCATCTGGTCAAGAGAAAACTTACTATATTATAATAAAATTCTATAAAGAATACATGTAACTTCTCACACAGAAAAGTGGTATTCACTGTTCAGGAAATGAGAACTAATGTGGCTTATATAACAATAGAGCCATTTTATTCCCAACTGGGTTTGTCATGGATGAAAGGCTAATGGTTTGTGCTCCAACTGTCCAGTTTTCTGTGAACTGTTGCCACATCTTACACATGTAGCAATGGATTTCACTCAAACTTGGCAAAAGACGTGAAACATTCTATTCTTCAAGTGTCCGCATGTTACTGTGGTTGATACAATCCAACATGGTCAACTGATAGCCACTTCTTCACTAGGTCCCTCCTGAGCTGTTCTCTGTATCATCAATAAAAATTTAGATCAACTTGAAGATGAACACTTGCTTACTATACAAGACATCAATGGCCAAACAGAACCCAGTGACTGTACGAGACTCGCCAAACACTGATTAATATCACAAGGTCCAGAAATTTATCATCAATAAGATATAGACACTAAAAAACAGGGCACTGAGGTAATGATCCTTGGTGCCTCGGCATAAAGGATGCATTGGTGCTGACCTCAAGAGCACAGAGGACAAATCTAAGAAGAAAAGGAAATGGGCGTAACACCTTCTTATATACCATAACCTGAATACATTGGTCTTACTAGTCCATGGTGAAGGACTACTGGTGGCTCTGATGGTGGATTATATTTAGGGTCAACACAGAAGGCAATGAAAACCATTTTGTAACCCGTAATCACATCACTCATAGTGTTCCGAGTCTATCAGAGAATTATTATAAAAAATACCGTGTGATGTAAATAAACTACAATAGTTGGTTAATGATCAAATATTGTACTATTATCCATAACTAACACTGTCCTCATATGTAGAAGGATTCTAATACAGTACAGGTACATGTAAAATGAAAATTACTTCAATAGCAAAATAAACTTTCATTTGTAATTCAGAAACTCTAGTTCTTAATACATTTGTTCCCTATTTCATTCTTCAAACATTCTAATAAATGAATCTATTTGTTCAGTGTAACTAATAACCTCCTCTCCTGTAAAATAAAACACTCCATCATTAATTTTTACATATCACATATCAACGGCGACCACAAATATTAATCCATCCATTAATGGGTCATAACATCTGTCCTTTTATGAAAGACAGTACTGTACTGTACTGTACTGTACTGTACTACTGTACTGTACTGTACTGTACTGGGTACTATAAATATTCCAGAGCAAAACTTGAATTGAGTTTTGCTGTAGCGGCAGACGTTCAATCAAAACTACTACTGTAGTACTCTGATTGTTGCTCAATGCACACATAAACTATGGTACATACATGGTCCTAACTACAAGTCAGTGCATAAGGCAGCATTATGCAATCACTAGTCATCCGCACAGCGAAGTAGTGATTAGCTTTTCCTTCCTAGACGTGGTGAGACAGTGGTAACTGACCTCAGTAGGCAATCTAAGAGTCCTGGGTTTGACTGATCTCTACTCTGAGTCAGTTACACAATTATAACTGAAAGGTTCACAAATATATGCACATTAAATGGAGTAAAAAGCAAACCCTACTGTCCAATATGCAACAGGTGACTTGAGACAAAGGCAACTGATCTTCCAGATTCAGAATAAGTTGGACCTGAGAGCCACTACCCAACCCCCAAAATCGTGAACCACCAAAAGTAATGAAACCTGAATCTTCCAACACTTTATCCACAGGAAAGAAGCCTTAGCTAGAGAAAATATTATATAACACAGTACTGTACTATAATATAATATTCTGGGTTCATTACTCTTATATATGCCAAAATTATTTCCTTTAGTGGTTATTAGATTAAACTTATTCTGAATTATGAAAACACCCTGACCTTACTCCAGACCCATGTGACTAATGTTAAAAGTTCACTTGTACAAGCTCTTTGATTGGCCAGTTAACAGAACTCACTGAGTGGCCCACAGGCAAATCTTACAGGGTTGGGAGGGCATAATGCTCAAGGTTCTAAATATCAAAGCCCACCTTGACATATTGTGCATAAAATAGCTTCAACTATGGCACTAAAATTAGAAGAATTTTTTTTCTAAACCACTATCTACAACAGCTATATTTTTCTTTAACTACAGTAGATTCAATACATTGGTCTGCATGAATTTCAACAAGTGTAAATCAAGCTGTGTTCGTGGTCATCTCAGAATGATAAACATATATAAAACACAGGGATGGATTATGACATCCTAATTTTTACACCAATAAGGTTAAGCATCAAGTGACCTACATGATGACCCTACCAGAACTCCCCTTAACAGTGTACTTAGTTCAAAGGGTTTAGTATCTGTATTCTTGAGGTATGTTTACTGTACCATCAGATCAGTGTAAATGTTGTATAAAAAGTTACACTCACTCTGTCAACACTAAGGTTAAGACACTACCTCAAGAAAGGCTCTTCACGGGCTGTTCTAGCCAAGCAATCTCACGGGTCACTGGACATTGTGCCACGGACTATAAAATACTATATAGTAATGTAAAATTTTACTATATTTAAAAGTAGTGTAGTGGTAGAAGTAGATTGTAGCATTATACACTACCATTAATAAAATAAATAAAACCATTAGTAGTAGTGACAAGGGTGACTATTCAAGACCAATAGTAAACTAAATGACTGGGTGAAATTATTCAGTACATCCTGACACTGTCTGATACTTAAACATAACACAGGAGGTCCCTGGGTTACGTACGTCAGACTTACAGACTTATCTGCCGATAAGAACGAGGTCCCATAAAGTTAAGCTTCAAATTTAGAATATATTTTTTTAATGGGAATTAGCCCACCCAGGCACACTAGACAACACTTTATGCTTCCAATATCTTCCCAGGCAGTACTACCTCTCTGTTTGATAGCTGCCTACTACCTACTACCTGATGACTTATACTCTCATTTACAGTATTTTGTCATTATATTTCTTCTTTTCTCTTAAATTAAGTGATTTTAGATGTATATAAGGACTCAGGCTATGACACAGTGGGATTTTAAACATTGTTCTGCAAGTATGGCACGCACACGGGGGATACTTTCCGACTTAAGAACGTCCGTAGTAATGGAACTCGTACGTAACCCGGGACCTGCCTGTAATAATAACCATACCTCACAAAAGAGAGAGACACCTTAGCTAACTCTTAAGGCTAGGAGGTAACGGCGACTCTATACACCCTGAAGGTCTTGTTGCTCATGACGAGGGAGAAGAAGCGGCTGTACTCGGCAATCTTCTGCTGAACCATGTTGCAGAATCTCCCGTGTAAGGGTGTTTGCAAGGCTGGTATACCCTGTCCTCCATTCTCCGGGATCTGTAAGGTGATGTACGGTAAATAGCAATATACACTATGTATTTATAGGGTGGTTATATAAATCTGCATTTCTCTCTACTTTGAGCTTAGAGAACAAGAACAAGAGAGAATGAGAGAACACTAACAAGGAAGAACAAGAAAAAAAAGAGAATGAGAGAGAGACCAATAACAAGAATAAAAATAAGAGAATAAGTGAGAGAACAATAAAAACAAAATATCATAAAATTCCCTTTAACAATAAATATTTGACCAAAAGAAACTCACATGACCATTATGAAGGTCAACAATATCGATCAGTCTACACAGTGGGCGCTTGGAGTCAACACTAAGGAGACAGATGCTGTCCTCCACGATGATATGTGTAGCTCCGGCAGTCTTCAGAGCATTATATACAACTTCAGGAGCTTCCCGCCCATATATCTGATAAACCTGTAAGTGTGAGATCTCAAAGTTAGTTACTGAGAAGTGACGTAAATGTAGATGATAGATTAAAGTATAAATTTATATGGTGGGAGCTGATTCTATGTCCTGCAACACTGTGGACTCTGTAGTGTCAGTGGCCTGTTAGTTTATATAACTTAGATTTGGGATTTACATATTGTTTACACATTAATTTACAAAGAAAAAGTCATTATCAATTAACTCTACCCTTGCTTTAATAAATAAGGTCAATTCCAAATTATGATGAATTGTGTAGGATGTCAGTGACAAAGTCGATGCATTGCTTACTATACTGCACAGTGTATTACTGTAGTTGTACTTTCATCAACTGTTTTCGTTTATATTATTAATGCTTAACAATAATTATTTGTTCAGCCAAAATAAAGAAGCTCCAAGTAACTATACAAACATTCAGGTATATGTTGCTGAGCTCTTACCAAGTCACTGAGCTTACAGAGGTGGAAACAGACCTGAGCCAACATGAAAAGGGAAATATCCTTCCACAGTTTCCATTTTAATATAGTCATTCTGCGGAACTACAAGTTTCTTACATATATTCACACAGTCAATGTAAATCAAAACCTTGTTACAGTACTTCCTATAGGAATAAACCTGATGGTCGCCATTACCTGATGTGTGCGGTCCCTGAGCCAGGAGTCTTCATAGTGAGGATGATTAGTTATGTGTCGACCAGTGCATAACTTTACACCCGCCAGTAACTGCATGGAGCCAGCGAACACGGCGTCAGGTGGAGTGTAAGACTGGACCCACTCCATCAACTCCACAGTATCAGGGTCCCAGAACTCATACATCTCCTCTGGCCACACTTCTGATGCCACTTTACCCCAAAACTGTAAACAAAATATTAATTGTTAATTTATAAATTCCTTACAAACGAAGAATATGGAATATCAAGAAAAACTTTCAATAAATAAAGTATTGAAAGATATAGAATAGCCTCATATTATTTTGTAATTTTGTTGAGTAGCTATTTTTTTTATTTCACTGCTACCAAAATTACTACCATTTTCCTATATACAGTACAAGGTGTATTGTGTGAAGGTTTTAATTTTGTAAGAAGAGTCAGGCTGGATGTGTTATAAATCATCTAGTGACTCAATACTGTACAACTATGATGCACTTCCCTGCTACAATCATGGCATCCCTCTGACACTCCTCTTCAGTCATTCCCACTGAGCTTACCACACACTGTACACCACTTACTAAGATGACTAAATGCTCAGCACCTGCTTCTCCTTCTAGTTCAAGTGAGGAAAACAAGGAATACAATCTGAAAACAGCACAGGTACTTTTGATTTAGTATAGAAAGTTAAAATTTTAATTGAAGTTGACTGTGAAGTGTGTCAGTTGTGGTGAGCTGAAGCAGGGTCAAATGATTCAGGCTGAGGCTATGGTAGAGAGTGATGGCATGCCAGTTAGTCACAGCAGACCCGGGCTGGCTTCATTAAATGTGCCGAGCTACACTGCATGACTCTCACTGGGGATACTGACACACTGCAGCACAACGTCATAATCTATGTCATAACTAAGTATAAAGTGAAGTAAAAACAAATATGGTACAGTATGTCACAAAGCAGGTACTGTACCAACCCACCTTGATATAGATGAAGGCTACAAAACTGAAGCAGATGATCATTTTAAAAAATTCAGGAAACCATCTTGGAAGATAGGATGACAACTTTCCACATGTGAGTACAGGTATTAGTGAGCTGTATATTCTTATGTCAGCCATAAAGACACCCGTCAGGACACACACTGTTGGCATCCACAGCACTTTAAGACGAAGAATAAGAGTTGCCAAAATGCTCCACATGACCGACAGTGCTGAAATTATTAAGGAAAGTTATGGTTTATCTCACAACAGGATAACAACTGTAGCTTGATTTAATTTCTTAAAGCAAGACAATAAATATATCTCCACTATTATCAATATTCTTGACCTGGAAGCATGCATCACTGACAGGCTGAGACAGGACTGCTATACTGTCAGGATATGTGTGAACAAACTCAGTTTTTACAGCTGGTTGGTGAGGATTGTGTTATCCTGCACCACTATTACTCTGCTATATTTGCTATCACTGGATATCAACCACACACTGCTTACTCGAGCTATACTCAAATCCGGGAGCAGTAGTCCACCAGCCCACTAACATAAGCAGTCACTGTACCGACCTTACTACAGGATTAATGATCTAGGAGTAGGGATTAAAACACAGCAAGTAGCCAATACTGTACTGTACTGTACTCACCCAAAAAGAAGATCAAGTCAGGTCTTCCTTGAATGAATGATTGACCTTGAGAGGAATCCCAGGGGGCATAGATACACTCTGTCTGTGATTGTTCTTTGATCAGTTTTTCTGTAGATGGATCCACCTTCATGTCACCCATGTATGTAGTGTCAATGACTCTCTCTGTTCCATATTCAAGAGTCTCAATTTCCTGTTGTATTATTTTCATATACTCTGAAGTGTAAGAAATCTCTTCTCTACTTAACTCCAATAAATTAAATAGATTTTCTCTATAATCGGATGAAATTTCAGTATAATTTTCCATATTTTCCTCTGGATTATTTCTTAAGAAATAGTTCACAGTTGATACTAAAAACACAATGACACCAACAACGTACAGCGGCAGGAGTCCACTCTCACACAGCCTTTCCAGGGACTCAATGTCCATATAGTCAAAGGCATCACTACACATATACAGTCGTGAGTCAAAGTCTCGTATATCTCCCATTTGTAATTTTGCAAAGAGTAGTTGGTAAACATGAGAGTCTGCATTTATGTCGAGAAATATCTGAAACACAAGAGAAAAAGACAAAGTAAACTATTAAAACACTGAAAATAATGTACGGTTGTACTAAATCTGGACGGTGGAGATAACACTATTTGAAAGTCACATTCAGTAGTGTATACAATAAAGTTTACAAGAAAAGAGCTTCTCCATCATGAGTTGTGTTACCTTGTCCCAAACTTCACCATAAAGCAAAGTCTCTGAGTTGGTTACTTTTATGTTTAGTCTTTTTGAATGTCAATTAAAATAGACTCACTAACCATTAAGATAGACACATTGAAAGATTCTGTAGAAAGCAAAGGAACATGGGAGAGAAATCAGTCTCTACTCTTAGCTACAATATACAGCTCTATGAATACCAGCCCTGCTTGACTGACTAATAGAATCTCTTGACACAACACGTGACCCAAGTCTTGGTCATCCTCATTAAGTTATTCTCAACAGTGGAAAACCAATATCTAGATATCTAGTATACAGTCAATACCTTTATACTGCCATTGATGAGCACAGTAGCCAGCAAGAGCAGGGATAGTTCAGCAGCCACGATGGTGAGTCTGAGAGTTGTTCCGAGGTTCCTGTCCGCCGAGGGAGTAAAACTGAGGACGAGGGCCGGCAGCACCATGGATAGCGCCGGTGAGGACACAACTAAAGGAGGGTTGGCTTGTACTACACACGCCACCAGGAGGGAGATGCCCATCACCACCACCAGCATGCTGACCTAGTTACGGCAGAGGCAGTTAATTAACAATCATTAAACACAGTTGACAAAAGAGTAAACGAAGTGATAATTAACATAATGAGTGATATAAGTAATTCAAACACAATATATAGAAGATAGGAACTGTAGTTCAAATCAATAACAACATTTAAATAATCTATCCCAATCAGATTTAACTTTTATACTTAGAAATGCCTAAATCTCTCTTATCTGATATAATATGTCCCTCATGACACTTTGGTATATTTGAAAAAAAACTGTAATAAATACCAGGATGACAAACATACAATGCAGGGTATATCATTATGACTTTTATCTGTAAGTTATCCAATAAAGCATAAAATAGTGATGAACCAAATACGGTAGAAAGCTTGAAGTTATCTTAAAAACAGTTCAAGTGTTGTGAGGCAGGAAAGTATATAAAGGCTTCACGATACTTGTCTATAAGAACACAAAACCTGACAGATATACGGTCAGACACACACACGCACAACAAGGGGCAACATCTCCACAGTGTATATCCTGATGAGATGAACTTACTGTATAATGAGACCCTAACCTAACCTAACCAAACAGAGGATCTTACTGAAGAAACATATCATCAGAGACATATTGATGGATAATGATGTTGTCGTCCATTCTCTCTACCTTTGTTCCTGTCATGAGAAGTAATCTGCCGAGACTCGTGAAGCAAAACAGTTGACACAGTAGAACAAAAGGCCCAAACTGCCAACTCAGGAGGAAAGTCACGTTCAGGAGGAAGATGGCGGCCAACTTAACTCTCTGGAAAAAACAAGAAAAAAAATTTAATCCATTTTCCACACTTACACAGATTAATTATATCTCTACATGTACTAAATTTAAGAATACTATATAAATAAATGTACTTAATTCCCAAGTTAATCCAATAAATGTATTTAATCCGAGAAAAAGAGACAAAACAAGAATACAATCTGTTATACTGTAACTATATTATCCCATCACTCAATAGTAACAATTTATTACTCACTGACCTGCCACTTGTATGATCTAATATAAGTACACATGAGGAATATCTGCAGGAAGAGAAGTGGGACGGCAAAACTCTCCCTCAGTGGAACGGTGTAGTTGACCCGGGTTGTGTCAATCCTGTGAGATACAACCGAGTTACTGTCGAGTTTGTCCTGTTGATATTAATCCTAAAGTACGGTAAAACAAAGCAATATGTGTACGCTGTCTGTGAAATATAATAAGACATGGCAAAGTTTATTCTCAGTTCCAGTTCTGTAAAATAGCTCAATATGGCAAAAATGAGCTAATCTATTCAAGCTGCATCAGTGAGATAATCAGTCAAGAAATATATCAAGCTTATTTTGGCCGCTTCATTTAAGTTACTGTAAGAGAATCAAGTCTGCCTCGCTTAAATGTTATTCAACTTCAAAAATGATTTAGGTTAGGTAAGGTTTGATGAGACTTTTGGAGATGGACAGATAGACAGAGAGATTAAATGAAACGGTGTAACCTCTGTTTAACGGACTATACAGAGATGAAAGTCCATTATATCGAGGGTCCGTTAGATGTGAAATCCCCTCCATCTATCGAATTACATGGATAGAGAAGTCAGTTACATGGAAGCTTCACTGTACACAAATAGATTGAAAATAAATATAGACGCAAGATTTATTTACGGGCAACAACTTACAGGTGAACGACAAAGAGGATCACGGAGATGAAGCCGGCAAGGATGGAGCCACTGAGGTACCAGGCGGTTATATACAGAGTAGCGACGAACACCCCATGTAGGCCAAACACGGTGGACACATAAAACACACTTGGTGCTTCCCGAGGAGACAACCATCTGGAATAATTTAATGAATATGATCAACAATATAGTACAGTACTCAACATCGGGTTAAACTGATACTATTAGAATTATGAAACAAGTTGGCTGAAGTTAAGTTAGTAGTTATAGATAAAAAAGTTATATAATGATTTAAAACTCTCCATGTCCTTGAGCACTGATATAACTGACAAGGTGTGTGTGTGTGTGTGTGTGTGTGTGTGTGTGTGTGTGTGTGTGTGTGTGTGTGTGTGTGTGTGTGTGTGTGTGTGTGGTTTGAATATTTTCTGACAACAGCATTGCCCCCTCCCCAAAGGTAAAAGGTAAAATAAAATTAAACAATACAATAATGATTTACCCCCTTTAAGTTTAGCCAAGTTTGAAGGTTAACTCGGGAGATACTGCAGACGAACGCCATACATCATCCCTCACCTATAAACAGCGCTGAGGATGATTTCTGGAAGAATATTAAATCTGTGGATGATGTTGATTGTACGACCATGTTCCGTCTGATTGTCTTGTTTCAGCTGATTAAACCCCTGTGAAATGACATGACCTCGTACAGTAAAGATTCTTGTAATTGCAGTAAAATACAGTATATATTACATAGCTAATTCCTGCCTTATAATTCAAGAAAATATTTACAGGTATTCTTAAGACATTGAGAAAAATAATGATCGTACTTTGGATAATTGACAAATTCTTCAACTACCGGTAATGACTTAGTTTTGGTATATACAGTCAATGTCAGTTCAATGTACACATGGTTAACAAATGGTACAGTACAGAGTGCATCATGTACGTTAAGTGGACAGACACTGACTGTAGTTGACTGGCCGGTCAAGAAATAAAGGAAGATTTTTCTTTAATTTACTCAGTTATTTCCTTAAAACTCTCCTACACTGCAGACCTTTTCTTTCTTTTGTAATAGACAAATAAGATACAACTTCAATTACTTTTAACCTACTGTCTTACAGGATAAATTAATGTATAAATTTCAGGTAACCAAAACACATTTATATCTAGAGAAGCAAACATATTACAGCACTGTATATCTAAAACATGGGAAATACAGTGATTACGAGTACAGTATTGTGATTACTGACCTCCTGCCATGTTGGGGACTCTACTATCTGCTTGAAGTAAGAATAGTAGAGTCCCTGCTCTGTTCGGAAGGATATTTCTCTTTCAACCTCCTGCAAAAATAAATACATTAATAAATAAATAAATATAATACAATAAATATATAAATAAATATATATAATAAAATAAATATATAAATAAATAAATATCAGTCTTCAATCTACTGTATGTAAAACATCTATTCCTTAAAAGCTGATAATGTCTATAAAATTCTCAACTGGACAACACATATCCTTATCGGTGTACAATACTCTCATAGTTCTAGCAAATGAATAGATATGTATGATAAGACTGAGGCTTCCAAATACATTCTACATGCTACTATTTCAAAACCTAACCTAACTTAACCATTCTAACCTAATTTACCTAACTTAATCTAACTTACCCTAACCTAACTTACCCTAACCTAACCTATCTTAACCTAACCTAACTATACACTATCTAAGGCTCACAAACAGCTTCACACATCTTACCCTAATATTTGAGAACCAAAGTTGATTTTCATGGAGAATATCTAAGTACTGTGGGTATTTGGTGAGGATGACCACAATGGCTATGACTCCCAAGGTGCCGCTCAAGATCTTCCAGAGGAGTTCGTACATTGCCGTAAGTTCCTCTTCAACCTGGTGAAAAGGATAAGAGAAAAAGAATTCAATAAAATCAATCTAAATAAATCATTGTCATTATAGATATTAAAAGAGTTTCTTTATCTCCCTCTGTTATGTAGAAATAATATCTTCTTTCTCTTAGCGCAGTAAAGTAAACCATCGTTAATCCGATTACAAAAGATCAGGATGTTACTTAATCTGGATATTGTTTATATAAATGTTAAATTAGGTTTAATATTGGGTTGGCTGGGTTTATAAACTCGAGTAAACCTAACCGAAATAAGCCTAACCGAAATAAACCTAACTAAACTAAACCTCACCAAACTAAACTTACTCGTATAAACAACAAGTACATTAATAAAATTTTCTAAGGCACCAAATAAATAAATAAACAAACATTAAATTGTATCTAACCTCTTCATCATGTTCTTCCGCTGTGGCAAAAATACTCTCAAGATATTCATTCAGTGTCTCAATGATGCCTTTTGATTTTGGTACCTCCTCCTCCACCTCCGCTTCTTCTTCTTCCCGCTTCGACACTTCATCATCGTACTCATTATCCTCGCTTGTAGTGTCTTCCGAATCAATATCACTTACCACCCCATGCTCTTCTTCGCCGCTTTCTCCGTCTTCTACGAATTCACTCGCCGGATAATTTCCTTCACTTTCCGGCTCATTTCCTTCACTCACCGGATCATTCTCTTCACTCGCCGGATAATTTCCTTCACTCGCCGCCTCGTTTCCTTCACTGTCTTCTCCCTGTTCTTCATGTGATCCTCTTGGCTTCATTCTTTGCCTCAGAAATATCCCAGATAAACCTGTTGAGAAATAAAAACGATGAAAAAAATATGAAAAAAAGTACAGTAAGACCTAACAATAATTACAGTAAATGCAGTAATACAAAAAGTACACTATTACTTTTCTTCATCCTGACATAAGACAGTGAAATAGTCAGAAGAGATCTGTTATCATAATATAAAGGTGAAAAGCTTCCTTAGTGCAATGTAGATTAAACCTTTCATCGGCCACTCATATGATCCGACTCTCACCTGTAGACCGGCCGACAAAATGCATAGATTTTTCTTTGAATTGATTTTTTTCATTTATGGGTAAAATCATGGGAATTTCTTCTTTTTTATCGAGTTACAAAGATAAACTATCTGACTAAGTGATAAAAGAACAAAATAGTTGTATCAATGATGTGGGATGGCTGAAAATGAGTGTGGAAAGGTAATACTGTATCTTATGTGCCAGTGTGAGCACTCAGAGTTCACAACTCTCACTCCAACACAGTACACATGTGACCACAGCTCAATTATGACTATAATATCTACATTAAACCAAGAAACTGTTAGGGTTTACATTTTTTCTTAAATTCCGCTACACCACCGACTACCCGTGTGCCCCTGTGAATCAAAACGCACCAATACAGTACTTGTATATATATACAATATTGCACCGTGATTTTGCAATACACGGGCCACTAAGCATCACCATCAGAACCGAAACTTGAAAGCTATGATTTTAGCAGGAATGAACAAATTTGTCAACAGTTACTGCCCATTACAGCTAAAAAGATCTAGTTTACTGAAAATTATTACAACTTTGATAAAGCGGACGGAGGCAATGATGCCGGAGAAATACTTTTTTCCGTATTTTAAATCCCGACATTGTTTAACTCAAACCTTAATGTAAGCAACATTGTTCCTTACATACAGTACTGTAGAAGACCTCTTACAAAGGTCTAACTTTATGATACAAGGAATGTTAACTATAACCAAATAAATGATACAATACCACTACTCTACAGCACTACTGAGTATGTAACAATCTCACCTAAACACCTTTTATTCTACAACAAAAACAATATAATGAGTAACTTAGCTGTATATAACCTTAAATATGACCAAAACCAATATATCAGTAAAGATCCTATCAAACTACTCACAGTACCTGTCTACCTGCCTCCTACACACAAAATAAAATAGAAAAATAAAGCATCGTGTTAATAAACTTGACTCCCTTTAATAAACTGATGAACCTAACCTTACTGATGAGTGAAGAACTTACTCAATCACCAACTACCATAGCAGGTGGTGTGAGGTTGTGTCTCCCGGGGTCCAGCTAGACTTAACCACTTATTGATCTACACCTACTTCACCTCAACACACAAATATCCAAATACAACTATGGAGTTTTTCTAAAGTGTTTCATGGTCTAGAGAATATATATGTATCATTATGTATGTATTATAGTGTGTAGTTCATATATAAAAGACATTATACTCACTGTACTGAAGGTTTGTTGTTGTTTACCTTCACTACTGATGCCACATACCAATTAATTTAAGTAAAGATTCTGTTCTCCTTTAAACCATATCTTAAAATTAATTCTATCATCCCCTGCTGTTAAAGGAATATCTGGAAGACTTTAGTTAATAAATGTATATCTTATCGTGTTAACAGGTGTAGGTTAGGTTAGTGAAATGTGAGATCGAGATAATATTTTAAATATATTTCTTAACTATGAAACAATTATTAACTCCAATAATTCACACTCTATAGATTACATATGTCTGTACAGTATTTATGTTGCCTGCCTAATATTAACTCTTTATATTGTTAATAGAGTAGTGCACCATTTGTGAGGTGTGTAGACTGAAGAAACTTAGGATGGTAATTTAAAAAGAAATAAACCACCTCACATAGAACGTCTAATTATAAGATAATTTTCATCTATTACATTACCGGCGGAAATGTATGATAACGGAGATAGCTTTACCAAAAATATTTCAAGTTTCTTCCATTAACCTCCCGCCATCATCGCCTCTCTCGGGTCTCCTTCATAAAGCATTAAGCTCCTGCGTACTCGTGCTTTTGGAACCAATTAAAATGATTTTGGGTTTAATTCAGAGTATATTTGGCCTAATCAAAATGGAGTTTTATTTTGGGTCTCTTATATTTTGACATTCAAGTTCAGTTCCCACCAAGGAAGTCTGAGGTGGGTGTCACTTAAAGTATATGGAGTTGATGGAGAGTTGGGGGGAAAAACGTAGAAACTGTAGCATTTTTTCGATGGCATGTTCTTCTAACCTCAGTAAAGTGTACTAAGAGCAAGACTGAATGTAAATATCGCAAAGACCAACATATGTGACGTTGGGTAAGACTCCCAGAGTGCAACGATGAACAAGACCTAGGCCAATAAGGTAAGAAATAGGTGATTCATGGTGAGAGTCAGTTAAGTTAGGTCAGGTTAGGTTAGTTTCCTGTTTTTCTAGTGGGTTTTTTTTGTATTAGTCGCTTAGCCACTTTTTTTTCGGAAAACGTCAAACGAAAAAAAAAATCGCAAAAACCCTGCTAATTTCCGCCAAAAATGAACATAAGAAAATAAGGAGTCTGCAATAGGCCTGTGCATGGCAGCTCCTGTCGAGAGTTACTACCACTCTCTATCATCCATGAATCTATCTAGCCTCCTTTTGAAACTTTCCAGAGTTCCAGCACTTACTACAAAGTTGCTAAGCTTGTTCCACTCGTCCACCACCCTATTTGTAAACCAGTTTCTTCCTATCTCCCTCATATTCGGTCTAAACACACACAAATACACTAGAAAAATATATTTTTTACTTGCTAATAGTGAACGGTGTGACTGCAAATTTACCTTTTTTTTTTTAATAACGCCACTGCAGTACAAGGCCATTGGTGTTGTTAAGCTTCCGTGTTGTGAAGATAAGGTAAGATTAGCTCAAGTTAGTTCAGGTTTCCCTCTATATAAAGCATAAAGAGTTCCTTGGGGTAGAGATTAGATTATCGCAAAAGTGGTGAAAGGATTACATCTTTTATCATTTTATTTTTCCATACTATTTGTCAACAAGTTGTTTATACTTCACTTGCTTGAACCTCTTCCCAGCCACCGACCAAATGCTTCTCAACAACCTTTTCATATCTAACAAAAAATATCCTTAAGTTGTTGGTAAAGAGTCGGTATTCCTGAGACGTCAGTAATTATGACAAAGAAACTTCTGGACTCAAACCTGTAAAAGCACCAACCATAGGCTGTTCTAGATTTTTCTATTATATTCGAATAATGTAATGTAAATTAAATGATTATCATGATATGTCAGACTAATTATTATGTTGCCATTTAATTAAAGAGCGACTTGTATCATTACAAGGTTACAATCACATTAACCCGTAATAGAAGTGTCTCTGTAGATAGAATTTCAATAACTAGACCTCATAGTCCATAATAGCGACTGTTCTTACAGTAATTATTAAGTTAATGTATGTGTAGAATATTAATAGAATATAGCTGTAGTCACAAGCCTAAAATTGCATTCTGTATAAATAATTTAATCTAATTTATAAATGACGTGCGATTATTGTAAGCTCCGCAGGCCATTATCACCTGAAGAAATTATCGTCGAAATGGTATCAAAATTAGTTAACAAATCGCCCGCAACTCAATTAACGTAAATACTGAGAAAAAAGTCATCGTACGAATTATTATTGATTCCATGTTCCTTGTACATAGAAGTTTTAAGGCGAGGAGATGACATACTTCAGTAATGGTGTTTCGTGGGTCAAGCTTACAACTGTTTATCGTCGTTTACACATCCGGATGGAATACTGTAATTACACCCCACCATCTCTTCATATTTTTGACAGGATAATAACTGATATCTTTGTATTAATGAATAGAACAAATAAGAAAATAGTTTTAAAATTACTGACGAAGAAGACTGTACAGATTAACTAAACCCGAGTGAAGATTTGGTTAGGTTAAAGAGGTTAAGTTTGGGTTGTTCTTTTGAATTAAGATGGTTTCCATTCACGCGGTAGAGGTAGTGGGAAAATAGATTATATTGAAATGTACACAGTTGTTTCCATTGGCACGGGTTGCGTTAGTGGTAGCGTTATGCGTTTGCTGTACATGTCAATCGCTCCCTGTAGCGGTTGACAACGCAACAGCATGGAAAAGGACAAGGGAATCCCACACTGTGAGGTCACTATCCTGGTGTTTGCTCTCCTCACCCAGCAAAATGCCTTGAAGAAAAAACAGTTTTCTGTCGAGGAGACTGAGGAGTTGTTTGACCATGTGTGCCAACATACAGTAGTGTCTTTGTGACAAACAAACCAATTTCTTTTTATATTGTTTTTATCTTCAGTATTCTTTGAAACCTGCAACTGTTTCATCATTTTACTCAGAATATATCCCAACCCGATTTTGTAATGCATTTATATAATACATTTAGAAACCTAGCAAGTGTTATTCAATAACTTAACTCATTAAGCATCAATCATTAAATAAAGGGTCACGGAAAGGGGACGTGATTGCTGCCCGTATCATCATTGGGTATGACTTTGCTTGGGAGATTGGTATCCCCGCATCCCCTGAGCAACGCTCTTGTGCATTATGCAGAAGACCCGACAGCAGCCAGATATTATGTAAATAACATTGATTATGTGTTAAAGGAATATCCTTCCTTCCTTAGGCTTTAGTAAACCCCTTTATAATATTTATACTGTATATACTTGTCACACTTGCCAGATGCTTCTGGTGTCATTGTACAGGGGTACCTAGTGACAGCACTAGGATCCCGCTTCCTCTATCAAGGAATAAACAATTGAATTGAAAAATTGAATCTTTACAAGATCCATAAATTTTTTATACAACTTCTAAAATGAAGGTTCATGGTCTCAATAAAAGGGTCACTGGAATAATAATATTTGTCACAATATATATCTACGGTTCCTATTATATCCTATTATTAGCATGACTTGCCTTATACATAACGCAAGTCTCTGCCTTGGGCAAATGACTTATTTGTTCCTGCAGTGTTTCACTAAATCCTCCTCAACCAGGGTAAGAACATGTGTGAACTGTTGTCTGCTCAGACGAAAATATTCTTTGAATTTTTCTTCATCCAAGCTCAGGTCTTTTACCAGGGTACCGTAGGCTCCATATTTGGTCTTATTCAGCATCAGTCTATGACCCCACCATCTATGTTTCCTTGTCAGTTTTTCCTTTGATCTTATACAAACCCAGGATGTTTAATAACAAATCACCCTGTTCATATAAGGCTCGTGGCTTTGATGCACTAGGAGCCATCTTTCTTGTCTTGTTCCCGCTAACAGAAAGACAGCTGCATGCAAATGGAAACAAGAGTGTCCGTTTTTCAGGGCAATTTAACGCAAACGCATACGCCAAACGCTTACGCCAAACGCATACGCCAAACGCTTACGCCAAACGCATACGCCAAACGCTTACGCCAAACGCATACGCCAAACGCATACGCCAAACGCTTACGCCAAACGCATATATGGAATCCTAGCTTTACAGTTAGCTGTTGGGTTTATTATTCTGTGTCAGTATTCCTGGATGTGACCAACAGGTGTGATGAGTAGTCAAGTGAAATATGGATTGCAATAACCCTAGACTAGTTACTGTAATTTTTACACTCCCTCGCTCCCGGTAAACAGAAAGCGCCAAACTGACCTTGAAATATGTTACCAGATGACTACATTAAACATAACTAGAACCACCTGTTACAGATTATAACATTGAGCTCTAAACTAATGCAGTGGTAAACCTTGATACACCTTCATTAAAACTGTACCTACAATACCAACAGTGATAATGGAGTGTAAGTTATGATTTTATTAAACTTGAATTTGTAAGGGAGGAGATGTGCAGATAATTCTTTCAGCTCAGTTCTTACTAAACTTTTACAAATGCTGGCGGTCACTCTAGAAACGTGCAGAGACAAGTCCTATAATAACATGGTTTTATTTGAGCTGTCAACACAACAACCATATCCTAGGTTAACCAATTGTATGATCCAGTGTGAAGGAATAGTTCAAGAAGACCGGACAACTCGTCAATGTGCTGGTTAACCATTACCTCGGAACACGCTCCATAAATCGATTCACACCAGGTTCTAACTATTTCTGGGTTGACAGGTAAATGACGTAAAGAAACGTACCCATAGTTTCACCCTACTCAAGATCGTCAGGTTTGTGTTATTTCCAGTAATGTTGAGGCTTTGTGAGAATCATTGAACTAATTTCAGAAGCTTATCACTCGCTCCAGCTAACCACAAGCGTGAATGATGACACTAGCGTCCGTCCAGCCT